AGTCTCACTTCTAATACTAGTTACGGATCTCTCCTGTACTAAGCAAGAGTCATAATTTTCTGGGGTATTTCTAATTGTTCAGATTAACTCCCCTGTATCTGTTCTGGATACTAGGTATAAAGCTATTTCCTAGGAAATGCAGCAAGAACTACATTTATATTTACTTATTGCAAAGCCCTTTTGACCAAACTCTGGGAGGCAGTGGAAGACAGGAGGGCCTGGCGTGCTCTGGTCCATGGGGTCATGAAGAGTTGGACATGACTTAATGACTAAACAACAACAAAATTGCAAAGCCCCATACTAGCTGAAACTTTGAGTTTGTTGTAGACATAAAGCCATTCCTTAGCAAGTCAGCACCTCCTCCACTGTTGAATAATATGAACCTCCTTGGACTTCTGAGTGTCTGATTTTTCCACACCCACAAATTGCAATCATTAATTAATGTTGATAAAAATGCAAAATATTCCCAACAATCTTTCTTGTTCCACCTATATAATTCCAGATCTTTAAGATGCAATCTTTATCATTAATTTGGGCATAAACATGTATACTGATTATTTTAAATTTCAGAATATTTTCATCACCTGGAAATGAAGAACTTTCCAATTGCTGCATCTCCATGTTTAACCTTTATAGTTTAGCTGTGTATATACTCAAATTGCAGTTCTTCACTAGTTCCTATTTGATTTCCAAAAGTCAAATTCGAAAAAAATATCAGCCTTGTAATTTGATCACCATTCTCTTATCTTGGAGATGGATAACATGGAATTGCACAAATTCTGACAATTCCATTTCAGTTCATATGTTACCATCCTGCAGTGTTCTATTGTGTTTTACTGAGATAACTAAATTTATCATAGTTCCTCTTACACTCTGGATACCACAGTATGTTACAATTTCAGTTCTTTTGGGCTTGCATATCCTCTGTGTCTTGTGAAATTGTTACAACTCCACATATGTTTGGATCTAGGCTGCACTTTTAAAAAAGAAATAGTTGCTTTTGCACCATTTTAGTTATTTTTCCATAGTCAAGTTATATGAGAGTGCTAATAAATCTTATTAACAAATGTTTCACTCATTCAGAAATCTCACTAGCTTTACCCACAGAGGAAGTTCAGTGGTAGCTTGCAAGACGATGACCCAGCTGAGCGCTGAATTCGCATTACAATGACTTTTTGCGATTGCTATAGCGATTTGCAAAACAGTCCTTCCAATGGGCGATTTTCACTTAACGCCGATTTGGGCCATGCTTCACAAACCGTTTGTTCGCAAGACGACGATTTTTTCCGCTCCACAAAATGCCTGCCCTATGTTTTCCGGACCCATACTTCCCAGAGCAGCCATTTTTACAGCTGATCGGCGCTCGCAAAAGGGCTTCCCTATCGGCGATCTTCGCTGGACGACAAGGTATTTTCCCCACTGGAATGCATTAAACTGGGTTTCAATGCATTCCAATGGGAAAACTGATTTTGCATGATGACATTTCGCTTAACAGTGATTTTCCCAGAATGGATTGTCGTCATGTCATCTATGTTACTCTTGAGAGAGGAACAGTGCCACAATACATTTACATAAAAATAAAAGTGAACATTAATTTTTCAGTCTGTTACCCACATTTCTCTCTATCATGTATCACACTCTTGAATTTATTATCTTATTTTCTTGGGAATGTAAAAACTATGGAAATTGTAACACACACTTTATGTGCCAGTTAGTAAGTAGTAGAAAGGCTCCCAAAGCAAACTTCTTTATAGGTTTGTATTTCTTATTTGTTCCCTCCTCTTAATAATATTTTGCATTTGAGGAGCTATTTCCATTTTAAGATTATTATTTTGTTGATTCATGACTTATTTATTTATTATTAGATTTTTATCCCGCACCTTCTAGACAAAGTCTACTCAGGACAGCTTATATAAAATCATTCATCAGTCAATATACATATACAGTTAAAACAATTTAAATTAACAAGATTAACATTGGTCAAGATGGGAAGAAATAAAGAAAACTAAATAAAAGGATTGTAGTACAGTACTGTCCTGTCTAGGATGGTCAGATGGTTACTTTTATAGCTCTAGCCAGTATATATAACTCGGTTCCATGTTATCTCTTCCATTCAAATGAATCTTGCAGACTGTTTTATTACATCTGTTCAATTGATCCTGTAGTTCTACTACTTCTGCCATTCTTCAGAAAGCTTGAGGTCTCTGTTTCAGCTTTTAACCCAGGTGGACAATGCAATGTGCAATTATGAGTTGAAAGTTGTGGTTTCCTAGCCTCTCCTGCCCCACCCATTTCCTTGTGTCAGACTATCTTTTGGTGAAACACAACTCATTTCGGAATGTGTTTCCTGAAAGAAATCTTTGCATATTATACTTATAAGGAGCAGAATTATGATTTAACTCTTAATGTGTTCCAAGTCTGTTTCTTTTAAGATGCAGTTTTAAATAACAGCTTATCTTCTGTGAGTTGGTGTAGTTTCTTTATAGACCCATGAAGAACTGGTTGGGTGACATTGGCCTTGGATAATGAAGCTTATGTAACTGTGGATTGGACCTTAACATATCTGCTCTTTGTAGATACTGTCACTGTAAAAGCCAGTGTTTCAGTTCTTCCACACTGCTAGTGATATGTTGTAGGAAATGGGGTGATTTGTGGGATTATGTTTGCTTGTTTGTGATTACAGAGATTTAATTATTGCATGGAATGCATAAAGTAGAAATGACATTAGGAAACTTGATTTTGCCCTAGTAAAATCCAAGAGCAGTGTAATAAATGAGTTAGGATTCAGTTTATACAAGTTTATTTTTTAATGTAGCATAGGTACATAAAAGGACAGAAATTGAACAGTAGACTTCCAAAGAGTATAAATGTTAGACTATATAGGAGATAATTAAAAGTGTTCACAACAGTTTGACATAATTGAATTGAAACAAACTCCAAAGAAACCTGCCACACATTCCTCCCATGTGAAATACTGTACAACCCACAAACCACGGTTGGGTAACTTCTGCTTCTCCAGATGTTGTTGAACATGCCTTAACATGGGTGGGAGCTGATGGGTATTGAAGTTTAACTATAGGCCACAAGTTAACCATTCCTGCCTTAAATGTTATATATTTGTTTCACAAATACTGCATAGGTAATTTTGGTTGAACTGAGCCTTACAGTAAACGACAGAGTTATAAGAATAAACTCTAATGCAGTGTTTCCCAGTCTTTTTTGAGTCACAAACCACTTTTATAATAGCCAAGTACACTTGACTCCCTGCCACATTTACATAAAAAGGCATTTTGATAGGGTAAAGAAAACACATTAAAAGAGATTTTTCAGACTATAATTCTAACCTAATATATTAATATTAATGTAATAATACATAATTATGGAGGAGATAAATCTGCCCCTAGCAGATAAAATATGAAAAGGGAAAAATATCAATACACTTTCAGTTTTATTTCCTTTCTTGGGTGTGGAAACTACCCTTCCTTCATGTCTCCTCCCCCAAAAAGGACCACTCAGTAAGAAGAGTCCCTCCCCCTCATGTCCAAACAAACATTTCCCTTATTGCTCCTCTTGCCTTCTTCCTCCATAACTCAGGTGAAGCCCAGAGGCATCTCCCTGCCCAGGTCCCCTCTCCCTTTACTGCACTGCCATTGCTGAACCTGGAAGAGTGGGAGATTCAAGCAGAGTGAAAGGTGCTACTGCAACAACATTTGAATCCTGCTATCTTGGGTGTAGGGATTCCCAGCATGCACCGTGCACTTGCCTCATTCAAGCCCCTTTGAACTGGGCTGATTTCAGTCCTCAAAGGGAGCAGAGAAAAACAATTGAAAATGACTCTTTCAGAGGGGGTAGGAATGATAGCATGCATAAAAGGAAAATCTGCTCAACGAAGTACAGAAATAACTAAGAGCTCCAGGTTGACTGCAGTTCTGGTTCAGATTAAAATTATCTGTGGGTCAGGAGGATTAAAATAAAACAACATTGTGTGTACCATATTTAATATAATAAATATAAAAATAATTGAAGTGAAAATAACTATGGCAATACCACCCCCACCCCCCCAAAAATACATGACACCCCTGGAGAACATTCCATTTATCAAACCTCCACATTTTAAAATTAATTTAAATTAACTATTCTGGTCATGTAGTGATTACTTTATACTGCTTGCACTGTGTAAAGTTGCACCACAGGATTTTGGCCATTATATATTTGAGTAAAGAACAAACGTCCACATTTCTTATTGGTGCCTCTTAGTGGATATTATCAAGCTTAACATTTTGTTCAGCAGTTACATAATTCCTGCAGAAGAGAGAAACTGATGAGATTAAAATGAATCCATAGATTTATGTTTAAAGAGTGGGATCTTTGCTCTGCCCAAAGTGAACAGAAGCAATTTGGGGTTTGATTGTCAGTTTCATTAATGACAAAATACCCTGTTTCCCTGAAAATAAGCCCTAGTATGAATTTTCAGGATGCTCATAATATAAACCCTACCCCCAAATTAAGACCCAGTTAAGTGAAACCCTGCCCTCCACCATTGTGCAGCAACCAGAAGAAGATGACATGACTGTATTTGAATAAATGTAGATTGTTGTACATGAAAACATCCCCTGAAAATAAGCCCTAATGCATTTTTGGAGCAAAAATTAATATAAGACCCTGTCTTGTTTTTGGGGAAACACAGTAAGATAATTCATCCCATAGGAAGACTAATGATCAAAGTTCCTTGAGCACAAAATGTGTCCTGTTTGTTCCAAATATACCATGCTTCACAGGGACAACAATTACTCAAGTTTTTGAATGTGAAAACTTAAGTAAATAGAAGACAGTTATCCATGGTTACAGGTTTTCAATTGATATTTCTTTTTCTCATTTGACTGTACAGTTTGTGTTAAGGGTGCAGTACTACATCTGCAGTACTACATCTTGTTTTGTCTTAAATTCCCCTTAAATATGTAAATGATTATAAATAATATCTAATATCTCTTTTTCTTTAGGTAAAGGAGTGCTCAAGATGACAAATTTTCTAATAATATTCAGAACATTCAAGCAAATATGAATAAATAAGAATTAATCTTGCTGCTGTGATGCAAACGTGACAATGGAGCAGCTTGGAGCAAAGGAAGTGCTTTAGAACATGGATGTGAAGGGCTTATATACCACTTCTCCCCTTTACAAGTACATTTTGGATTTTTTTTGAAAACTTTATTTGAAAATTTTGTCATTCTCTCTGGATCTAGTCTAAAGCAACTGATGCTCATTGAAGAAGAGATTTAAAACTTTATTTTTGGTTTTTAAAAAGTATACTCGTGGGATATTTTTGTAATTGCACACAAGGCCACAAATAAAACTGAATACAACCAGCCCTCTAGCATACTCATGACTCCCCCTTGAAGGAAAAGGATTTACAGCTCAACCTTGCACCAGCTGTTACCCGGATTTAGCAGTCAAAAGAGAAATAAACAAAATTAAACACCGATTGCCAGACAGACAACCCCAGTTCCTGATGAATTCAGGGGAGAGTGATCTTCCATTAGGAGAAGAGGACATTTGGAGGATGGAAGATATGTGCAGAACTGGCAGATTTGCTGGCAGGATAACCTTCCCCTGAACAGCAACTAGAAAGTACTGTATTGCTTTATACCAAGAGCAGATTAAAAAGGAAAAACCTACCACAGAATCTACCTTGGAAATTACTGTGAGCATTCTGAAAACAGAATAAGAGAACACCAAAAACTTAGTGGAGACCTTGTGTCTTAAGTGCTTTCCTCTGTCATCCTGCCAGCTTGCACCAAAAAGTCCAAGTCCAGATACTTTATTGGCTACATTTCTCAACTGTTTGTGTCACCTGCAACACAGGATCTTCTCTGAAAGCTGTTTGAAGGGGTGCATTTTGTTCTGAACTTGCCTCATAACAAGCCTGCATAATTCTGCCCATTCTTCTGAATCACTAACACTTAAAACTGATGTACAAGTTCACATTTTATATTTTTAAATCCCTTTGCCCCGCAGAAATCTTGGGAATTCCCTTGCTGGTTCTGTGAGACTTATTTCACTCCAAATACTGTATTACCAAATTAATTTTATTTTTTATATCAGTTCCACTTTGATTTTACTGTTTATCTGATCTGACAATAGCTAATTTCAAGAACGTGGATAATGTTTTAAACCTCTCCCTGCATACAATTGCTTTTCATTTTGAAGGTCCCTCTCCCCTTTTTCTTGTCCTTTCTGACGCCAGTTGGACCTAGGCTATGCTGCAGGGCAGATCATCCACCAGAGCTCCAACATGCCAGCAGCATCTGGAAAGAGATTCAAACCCAGCAAGTATGTCCCAGTATCAGCTGCTGCAATCTTCCTAGTAGGAGCCACAACTCTCTTCTTCGCTTTTACGTGAGTCAATATAATGTAGTATATGGAGTGGATAAAGTGGGTTGGGCTGCCAGTATTGTAAAACTACTAGCTGTATAAAGAAAGTCCAGTACCACTTGATTAAAAGATGCTGTTTCTTCTTTTTATCACTTTGGCTTTGCAGAAGTAACAACATGTATAAAGCAGGACACATTAATTTCACCATTGTTTGATACAGAGCTAGATCTGGAATTAATAATAGACTGGGAAAATGACCTGTAGTTACTTTACCAGCTTTTATACATTTTCACTATTGAAGTTGTAACACTTGCTTTCATATTAAATAATTCTAGCCATGTAACTTAAAAACTATACTGTACACGCATTTGAAGAAATAGTTGCATACAATCTGTGGTTTAAATATGTTGATTGGTTATATGAATTTATGATGACTGTTTTAGTGACGTGGGGAAGACTCAGTAGTATGCAATATAAGAAAAATGATGAATTGATCTTTGTGCACATTAATTTTTTAGTCATATAAGCTAGGGAATTCTAGTTTCATAGACAACCTTTATCTCCCCCACCCTGTACTGAGGGCTGTTCTGTCCGGGGTACTTGTTCTGGTTTGAAGCTGCAGTGAGGATCTTCTATCCTCTATCAATAGGGCTATTCTGTTTGCCTCATATGCCAAAGTAAAGAGCCTCTATGTGAGAGAACCTATATTTTCATGCTGTTTTGTATGCCTACAACATATTGAGTTGTCTTAATCTGCCATTAGAGCAGGGTTCCCAAACTGTGTGTCACAACTCCATGGGGCACCCAGGATCTGAGCCAGAGCACCATGAGAAAAGGAGCATGTAGAGGAGCTGTTTATATGTCTGTGTCAACCAGTAACCAGGAGTGAAGGCCATGTGCCTGCCTCTCCGTGCCCCATCTCTATGGTTCCTGGTGGAGGAATTTGCCATTTGGCCTTGTGAGTTTCCTGTGTCAGGACCTGGAAAGAATTTGTCCGTCTGAGATATTTGGTGGTGGTGGTGAGATGGGATGGCTGAGGAAGGGTGTCAAGATCCTGCTCTTGCTGGCAGTGGGACTTCTGATGGCCCCTCCAAACAGTTGCAGCCAGTGGTCAGTAAATCAAGGGAGCCCCAAGTCCAAAATGTTTGGAAACCACTGCATCAGGGAATGACAGATGTAGTGTGTGTTCATCTATGGCAGTGTACCTGGAATGAGATTCAACAGCACTCTTGCACATAAATTGAAACTATTGAAGGCCTAGAGGTGTGAGGGTTGGTCATTGGTGCAATTACTTATGTGGAGAACAGGGTACTGTATTATGTATTATTGTGTGCTATATTGTATTATCTAAAGGAGGAATACACGAGTCTAGATACATACTGTGTGTTTGTGTATCATACATGTGCTGAAAGAAAATGTTAGCAATTGCAAGTGCTTTCCATAATCTCCAATCCTTCAGCTACCCTACTGATGCTACTCTTTAGTAACAAGTCTGTCACCTTGAGTTGCATTACAGCAAATGTGTTTAATCCTTTTTATACCATAAATAGAGATGGAGTGGACATAACTATGGTCCGGCCCCCTGGGCCAGACTGTCTGCTCATCCTTCTGCTGCTGCTACAGGCTCCACACTCCCTTTCATTTGCTCCAGAGCACCTGGTCAGCAGGCCACTCTTCAACCTGGTAAGGAGGCTTGCTGTCCTGCGTCCTGCAAGGAGTGTCTAGTCGACCGCAAGCTCCGGAGTGATAGGAAGAGAGTGCAGAGTCCACAGCAGCAGTGGAAGGCCCGCAGCAGCGCGGAGTCTGCAACAGTTGCAGGGGGGCAGACCCTCTGTGCGGTGGTATTCATATACGAATACCCCTATCTCTAACCATGAATCATAATCTTGTGGATGGCTAGCCCATATGCTAACATTGATATCATGTAGTAGCAATCTCTTCAGTCATAGAGGACTGTTTCTAGGGCATAGCCAGAACATTACATTAGGACTTAGATGTAACTTTTCCTTATACAGTGGTGCCCTGCTGGACGATTGCCCTGCTTGATGACAAAGCCGCTTAATGTTGAAGTTTTTGCAATCGCTTTTGCGATCGCAAAACGATGTTTAGATGGGGGAATTTTGCTTAATGTTGATCGGTCCCTTGCTTCGGGAACTGATTTTTCGCTTTACGATGATCAGCAAACAGCTGATCATCGGGTTTCAAAATGGCCACTGGCTGTAGAAAATGGTTCCCCGCTGTGTTAGGGATGGATTCCTCGCATTACAGGCACCAGAAAATGGCTGCCATATGGAGGATCTTTGCTGGACGAGCAGGTATTTCACTCATTGGAACACATTGAACGGTTTTCAATGCTTTTCCGTGGGTTTTTTATTTCGCTTGATGACAATTTCGCTCTACAGCGATTTCTCTTGCACGAATTAACGTCGTCAAGCAAGGCACCACTATAACTGAAATTCTTACTACATTTTAATTAAAATTTGACCTCTCTGAAACCGTACCAATTAGACCTTTTTATGAGTTGAAAGTGAGCTGCTAGATGTGATTCCACCACTACTGATTGAAACAGGGCTCCCCCCCACACACCTTATAGGAAGAGATATAACATTTCCTGAAATATGGAAGCGAGGGGAGAAAATATAAAAACTGTGAACTTTGAAATATAGACCATATTTACATTTTTACCAAATGTAGACATGTTTTAACCACATACATTTGCATTGTGCATTGAATTTAAATAGTATTTGCTGTACTTATGGGATACAAAGAGCAGTTTTATCTATTTAAAAGCATGAAGCCACTAACAAGGCCACTTGCATAAGAGCTGTGCTTATTTATTTACAAGGAAGACTCACTGTGTTTAATGGAGTTTTCTTTTAAATGAACATGTATTGGATTGCTTCCTCGAGAGTAAAAATTGTTTTATCTATCTATACAAAGTTACAGATATACCCACTGACAACAAGAGAGCTATAAACTACTTTGCTCAGTACTAGCTATCTATGTATGTCTATGTATGTCTTTAATATCAGGAAAGTAAGGAGAAAGCTTGAAAATAGAAGCCATAGTTTTTGTACTAAACAAAAAGCATTTTGTTACAGCCTCCCATCATTCTCAACCAACTTTGCATTATTTGAGCTGGAGGGCATAAAATGGGTAAGGCTAATGTATTATTTAGACAGAAGTAGTCTCATACAGCACAGTACTAAGGACTAGCAGTATACTGTACTTGGGTAGACTATTGAAACCTTGTAACAACAAAGCATTTTAACAGCATATCTCATTCTCTAATGCTGCAGAGTGTTTTACATCCAGGTCGGTCATAAAATAGATCTTGTGAACAAAATCTTGTCTTCAAAAGCATTTCACTCTTTTAAATAAAGTAAAGAAAATTGCCACTGCCCAAATGAGTTTAGTGGTGGTGGTGAGTTTTGGTAATGAAAGACTACCCCTTCCTGTCCTGAAGCCTCCAGAGGTTTCAGACAGTGAAAGAGATAACTCAGGACGTGTGGAGGCCAGAAAGTGGGAGGCAACATTCCCTCTAACTTTCTAGAGTGCTGCATGGGAGCCCTGCTTTTTACACATGGTGTTCTGGCTGTGATCAGAAGCAAATGGGCAGCCCAGATCCAGCACCACATGAGAACACAGCTTAGAGAAAGTGTTGGCAGGAGAACAAAATATTTAATTTCCAGAAATATTGTCCTGGCAGATTTACGTCATTTGCCTTATGCTGTGGAACCTAGACAAACAGGATTTCAGTCCTCTATATTCTCCCAAATTTTAATTTATTTGATTTTTCTTTTAAAGTTATGGAGGCAAGACACCCCTCAAAGGTTTTTAATTTTTTTCTGGAACTTCTGGAGTTGATGTGTGTGGAGATAAGGGGGCAGGGAAGAATTTGTTGTCTTTCGTTCAAGACTGTGGGGAAGACACTAAAAATACTAAGTTCCAGAGGAACATTTTTAAATTTAGGGGGAGAAGAGGACTGCAAAATTCAGCTGCAGTGATAGAAATTATATTTAAGAGAGATAATTACATTTAAGATGATGCAGTCTTCCTTCTCCCCCAAATATGTACATTAATAATTACAATCCACCATAAGTCACTTGTCCCAAGTCTGCTGCCAATTTATATTATTGCATGGACTTGAATTCTAGTATAATGTGGGGAAGAGACTAATCTTTCTCATATTATTACTATTTTCTCAACCATCAGTATCATCTTTTTCAGATGTTATCCTTTAATGAAAGGAGAGGTGTGCTAACCACTTGAATAATTCACTTGACCTTTTCTCTTTGTGGTTCCCTTTTTCAGATTGAGTGACCAGAATTACATACAGTTTTCTAAATCTGGTTTACATAATAGCATTATGAACTTAGGGATGCCTTACTAAAATAGCACTCCTGGTAAACCCATACCTTATACAGGAACTTTTGATAGTGATACATGCAAACTTAAATTTAGAAGGTGGTTCTGTGAAATTTGAAAATTTGAATAAATCTCCACGAAAGACATTTTTCAATACATTCAAAGCAATGTTACCTGCCCAGTTTTATTTTACTGATTTGTGCAGCATTAGCATGTCAGTCACAATCAGCTGCTGCTGTTTTTTAATGGCCACATTGTACAGTAATTGGTACCCAGTTAATTCAATATGAAATAGGAAACTAAAGATTTAAGGCAATATCCTTGCTGCTCCCAGAATAAAGAGAGTACAGTAATATCATTTTATGTTGTGATCTTATGGCTTCATCTTACAACAAATATTAGGTTTGCCGGCAGATTGCCTAATAAGAGTTAAACAAATCAATATTTTATTTCTTGACCTCTTTGCTGTAAACTATTACTTATTTGCACAAGCAATAATTAACAGCAAAGGGGACATGATCAGAGATGGATAACATTATTTACTGCTAGTTAGCAACTCCATCCAAAACACACATAAATCTGTCATTGCTTCTATGACTGAAGGTAGTTACATTCCATCAGTGGAATCCTATGCATAAGTCAGTGAAGGAGAATAC